TATAAAAAAATGTTCATAAATTCAAAAAGTATTCTGAATTTTTTAAAAATTCATGAAGTCAAATAAAAATCTTGAATAAAAAAAACTTCAGAATTCTAAAAATTCTCACGTGAATACAAAAAGATGTTTTAAAATTGAAAGAAATGTTCAAGAATTAAAAAAAGTTTATGAAATTCAAAAATGTTAATGAAATTAAAAAATCACAAATTCGAAAAAATTCAGGCCAATTCAAAAAATGTCCACGAATAAAAAATATATTCGTGAATAATTTCTGAAATATTTATGAAAATAGCAACAAAAATTAGATAACCTGAATAATATTTTTAAAATATAAACAATTTTTGAAAAATAGTGAACAGAATTTGAATTTACGAACATTTTTTGAGTAAACACAAGCATATTTTTAAAACATGAACATTTTTTAAAATAAACAAACAATTTTAGAAGTTGTGAAACACTTTTGAAATTTGTGAAATTTTAAAATATATATTTAAAAAACAAAAAGAGAAAGAACCAGTAAAAACAACATCAGAAAAGAAAGAAATCCAGCAACGAACCTTCTGGAATGTTCCAAAAAAGGCCGCTTCGAGCGCCCCGTAGCAAGATTGAATGGGCTGGCGCACTGCAAGCACGCGTTGGCGATCGGAGCCTTAGCACTCGCAGCGGGCGATACGTGTGGAAAATCCTATATGCCGCTCGTTGCGTCAAACTGCTGGCGCTTCGCACAGGCGAGCGACCGAGCAGCGACGCAACGGGCCGGCCGCTCCCGGTTTTGGGAACCTTCTAGAGGTTTCCAGCTGGTTTTTTCCGCTTTTGGGAACCTTGTAGAAGGTTCCTGAACCGGTTTTTTTTCTTTCTTTTTCTATTTCTGTTTCGTTTTTTTTCAAGTTTATGTTTTCTTTTTCAAAAAAATGTTCGTATTTTTTGGAAAATGTTCGCGCTTTCAGAAAAATGTTCAGAATTTGAAAACAATTCGTGTTTTCAAATTTTGTTCACAAATTCAAAAACTGTATGCATTTTTCTAAAATTGTTCGGAATTTTCAAAAATTGTTCAAAAAATGTTCACGCTTCCAAATTTGTTTGGTATTTTTCAAATTTTTTCTCTGTTCGAAAATTTGTTCTCTGTTCGAAAAATTTGTTCTAAATATTTAAAAAATGTCCGTGCTTTAATACATTGTTCATGCTTCCAAATTTGTTCTCGGTTTCAAAATTTGTTCTCAAGATTCAAAAAATGTTCATGCTTTAAGAAATTGTCCAAATTTGTTCTTCGTTTCAAAATTTGTTCTCAAGATTCAAAAAATGTTCGTACTTTTAGAAAATATTTATGTTCAAATTTGGTTCTCAATTTCAAAATTTTGTTCTCTAAATTCAAAAAATGTTCGGAATTTAGAAAATGTTCCTGCTTTTCAAGATTTGTTCACAAGTTCAAAAAAAATTATGTTTTAAAAACAAATCACTATTCATAAAATTGTTCACATTTTCTAAGAACATTTTCTTTTTATAAAAAATTGATCATAATTTTAATTAATGTTCCTGTTTTTCAATATTTGTCAACCTTCAAAGTTGTTCCTGTTTTTCAAATTTGGTTAAAAATTCGAAAAATTGCTAAAACTTTTTCAAAACTCGTTTGTGTTCTGTAAAAAACGTTCGTACTTTTCAAATAATATATTCAGAATTTACAACAAATGATAGGAAAAAGGAAAAATAATCCGATTCTTTAGATATGGTGGTCTAAAGGACTCGCATTGCTGTTTCACCAGCGTGCGAAGTCTGGCGTAGTGGCTACCTACGCATGTCTAGATGCTTGAGTTCGCGGTTCGAATCCTGGCTGAATCGCTGCGATTTTAATCATTTATTTTTTACACTGATCGCTGCCTTCCTGGGCCAGCTCAGTCGAGGGACTGCCATATGCGAAGCCTGGACACTCTGCCGCATAATGCGCCAGATAGGAAGTCTGTCACTTGCGGACAGGGAAGAAGGCTCGATCCGCTCAGCGAATGAAGCAGGCCCTGCATGTGTTTATGGGCCGGGCCAAGTTGCAGTTTTGTACTGTTTTTTGACATGTACTTTTGTTTGTTCTCACCAAAAAGAAAGTGTTCTAAAAAAAGGTTGTGGTTTTGTGGGGTACCTATGCCTACTCTTTTTTCCTAACATGTCCTCACTTGGCTTAATGCCTTTTCAGAAATTCTATTCCTACAAACTAGTTTTACGAAAGAAAACTATGAACTGTGTGAGGCGGGATAACTACCTGCAGCAAAGGCGTGAACAACCGTCCCTAGACTGAACTAATACGTAAGTTTTTTGTAAAATCATTACGTAAGAATAGCATCGTTCATGCCTTTTTCCCTTCGTTCAACAACAACAAACTTAATAACTTAGTGCTTGTTTCTTTATTTCTTGGAGTAGCAAGTAACTGCGGTGTCCATGTGGTGTCCATGTAGACAAGGTGGTTCCGCTCTTGTGATCTATGGTTGTATGCAAACTCCCGGTTGATAGGCAATATAGGGCATGCTTAAAAGTCACTTGTCCAACTATAGGACAAGTGAGTTGGTGGCGGTTGATTCACCTCATAGGTTATCAGGAATTATCACACTTATCATCTATTTACGGTGTAAGTGTTGATTTCACTTATGTATATATTTTTTTAAAAAACTCATGATCTAAAGGTTTATGTGGCACAAACATTTGAACAACTAGTAATATGTACAAAACATACTTCCGCAGCAAACGTGTGAGAATTTTGCTAGCAATAGAAATGATTTTGCGACATTGTGATGTTCAAGTTCACGCATGCATGCTAGTTTATCAGAAAGGTTTTCTAGAATACCACTCCCTCCGTTTTTAAATATAAGACCTTCTAGAGATTTTGGTATAGACTACATTCGAATGTATATAGACGTATTTTAGAGGGTAGATTCACTCCGTGTGTAGTCCGCATTAGAATATCTAAAAAGCTTATATTTAGTGGAGGGAGTAGTCTTCAAACAAATTAACACGTATTGCATCTCCTTAAAAAAATGTTGTCTTTTAAAAAACGGTGTCGTAATACTTAATAATTCACTGAAATCCTCACAGAACATAACACCTTCATAAAGTGGATAAATTCATCTCTTTACACTAGTAGAAAATGGAGCTTTAAAACCGGTTTGTAAGGGCCTTTAGTGCCAGTTCTGCAATCGGCACTAAAAGGTGGAGACTAAAGGCACCCCCCCTTTAGTACCGGTTCAGCAAGAACCGCCACTAAAGGCCCACCACGTGGCGTGAGCTCGCGTCGTGGTGTGGGGGACCTTTAGTACCGGTTGGTGTTACCAACCGGTACTAAAGATATATGTTTTTTTGAAAATTTTGTAAAAAATATTTGATTTTTTTTAAATTTTCAATTTTCTAAATTATTTGATTATTTAGTCTCTAATCACCCCTCTTAACTGCTTAATTGTGGATCACTCATTCCAAATCATCTAACTTCCCGGCGGGTCACACATCCTCTCACTCCCCCAGCCTGAGCACGCTTAACTTTGGAGTTCTATTCCCCCTACTTTCCAAATATGCACTTGTTATTTTCCTGACAAATGTAAGCTGTCAATCCTATTAACCCTCAGCAGTTTAGCTTGAGCATTAGGTCACACGTTTTATCGTTTGAGTTTGGAACTATTATTCTAAAAAACAGTTAGTAACACTAATATTTCTCGAATAAGTTTGACCACAGTTTGACCATAATTTGACCAGATTTGATCATAGTTTGACCAGATTTGACCAAAATTTAAAAATTTGAAACAATTATTTAGTAATACTAATATTCTTGAATAATTATGTAGCAACATTAATACTTCTTGAATAATTAGTTTGACCATAGTTTGACCAGATTTAACCAAAATTAAAAAAACTGAAATTTGAGCATATCTTTTTTTCCTTTTGGAATTTGAGGATTCTAAAAAATTGCAAACAGGCCGTAGGCAGTCAAAATCGGATGCGCATTTTCGTGCTGAATTTTTTGATATATTATACGTTTTTTTCCGACATCGTATGCAAAAGTTATAGCCGTTTTACATTTTCCCTACACTTTTTGCAAAACATGCCCAAATTTAAGTTTTTTAATTTTCCTAACTAGTAGATGTAGTAATATAACTACATCTCGAAGAATTTTATTTTTTGAATTTTTTATCATTTTCTTTTGTACTTTTC